TGTGACTGTGTCGTGCACGAAATGATCGTGACTTTGTCGTGTGACTGTCGTGCACGAAATGATTGTGACTGTGTCGTGCATGAAATGATCGTGACTGTGTCGTGTGACTGTGTCGTGCACGAAATGATCGTGACTGTGTCGTGTGACTGTGTCGTGTGACTGTGTCGTGCACGAAATGATTGTGACTGTGTCGTGTGACTGTGTCGTGCAGGAAATGACCATTATTTGTGTGGATGTCCTATGTTTCCCTCCAACAAACGAGTCTCCAAATCCGTCATCGGTCACTGTGAGCCGTGTTACCGTCATGTATTGTGCAATAATTTGATGCTTTGTATGTTATTTATTGATGATGAGTGTTGGCAGCTGTGGACCAGTACGTGAACATCGTATCTGACAGGTTGTCAGGGTGTGGGTTCAGAAATCCGTTTTTGTGTCAGAAAATATGTAGTGTAAGTAAATGCTGCTTTCAAGATTTGTTTCTCGTGGACTTGCTGATGCGGAAAAAAGCTGTTGAACTATCTGGGTCAAATTTACGAATACTAATGAGAACAAAGCTCATAAGTCAACTGGTCGTTTTCAAGCACAGGGAGGCTATCCCGAAAAATGCTGTTTATTAGAAAATCGAAGGTGAAGTTTTTGGACCCTTGTTGAGTTTCTTTAAAAGACAAAGGGAGTTTTCTCTATAACCAAACAAACACACCCACCAATGAAACCAAACTTGTCCTGTAGGTCAGTGTGTGTCGACTAGCCTCTGTGGTGTAATTTTTATCCGCTGAGCTGCCACATGCTGGAGACCCAAGTTCAATCCCCGAGTGAGCATCACACGTCGCTGTTTGTTTCTACTTTCTCTCCATCCTTCTTGCTTCTCCTTTTCTATTTTAGTCTCTCTCCCCATGTCTCTCTTTCACTTTCACTTTCAGTCTGTTTTCCTCTCCCCATCTTTCTGTCTCTCTCACTCCCCTCATCTTCTCCCTTTCATTCGTTCTCCCGACAGCCACCCTGTCAAACACACACACACGTTCACACTCATGCACGCACAAACTGTTCACTGGTGTCTGTGGTGTAGCAGTTAGCCATGTGGTGGAGCAGTTAGCCATGTGGTGGAGCAGTTAGCCACTCTGCTGTCTCCTACAAAAGACCTGAGTCTGGTTCTGGGGTGGGGAGGGAGAAAGTTTTCCTAATTGTCTCTCTCCGTCCAGATACAGTGTCAGAAGCCCCGCCTCCTGAAGGATGGAAAGTGTGGATGGGGCGGGCGTGAAAATATGCACAGACTGTTCTTTCCATTTCCATCTACGGACAGTGAGATAGCTTGATGTATGCATGTATATATATATATATATAAAACAAGATGTCCCGATAATATAATATATATACCGCACCATAAACTGACTGTAGTATAATAATACACAGGTAACGTACTGATGCCTAGAGGAGGGCCGTTCTGTTGTCTGTTGTGTGTACCCTACTAACCCATGCCAGGTGTGTGTTGGTGGAGATCCTACTGTGTGTTTACTAACTCTACTGACTACTAACAACAAACATAATATTTGTATGTTGGTTTGATTGGATTATTTTACTAACCCTCTGTAAAAGTCTCTGAAAAGACCTTTTTACGGACTACCCTTAGATTTTTTTAAATTTCACACTTCATGTTGTATACCATGTATGTATGTATGTATGTATGTATGTATGTATGTATGTATGTATGTATGTATGTACGATGTATGTACGATGTATGTATGTATGTATGTATGTACGATGTATATACGATGTATGTATGTATGTACGATGTATGTATGTATGTACGATGTATGTATGTATGTACGTATGTATGTATGTATGTACGATGTATGTACGATGTATGTATGTATGTATGTATGTATGTACGATGTATGTACGATGTATGTACGATGTATGTACGATGTATGTACGATGTATGTATGTATGTATGTATGTATGTATGTATGTATGTATGTATGTATGTATG